AAAACCAGGTCGATATGAGCACTACTAACATTGACAGGTTTACGATAATGTAGTGTTATGACCCCCAACCCCCTTATTTTTTTTTTATATCATTGTGTTTTCGATAAGTAAAAGAAGTGTACATGATAGTATTTAAACAGTTTGATTTAATGTACATCAGTATAAAGTTGACTTACTTGTTTGTTCTACGGTAAATGAAGCACATGTTTAAATCATGTTTACTTTTGTTTTTCACACTTCCTGTGTTTACGGACTTTACTATGTTTTATATAAAGAATACTGAGGCATTCCGAATGTTAGATTATCGATTTTTCTATTATTGCGGGAAATATGAATGGCATGTTCTTTCGATAACGACTGAATGTATACAAGATTTTTGAAAACATGAGAAATGTTTATGATTTAAATGTTACAGGTTGTTATATAATTTTTCTAGACGAGAATCGACATGATTTTACTTAGAGAATTCTGTATTGAGATTTTCTGTTATATTTTCTGTTCATGTCACGTGATAATACAGATTCTGTGTTTTTCTGTATTTTTCTATGATTCGCTCGTGCAAAGAATAGAATTCTGTTTTTCATGGTATAAAAGCTAGGAAAATTCTGTAATTGAAGTCTTTTGGTTCTCTCTCATTCTAGGCAACGTAAGTCATTTTTATTTTGTTATTGTTTTGGCTACATCTTGATTTTAGAAAGGAAACTTATTTAATTTTTATCTACGGAAAGTTGTTTTATTGATTTATGAGAAGTAGAAATATTTGGTGATTTATTTGACTAATTTTAGGGATTTATTTGAGACTTTGATCAGTTGAGATTTGATAGCAAACTTGATTTGGAAGAATTTTATTGAGTTGTTTAATTTTAACTTTATTGAAAAGACTGGTGAATCTGGTTTCTGAAATTATTATTTCTTTTAATTAGTTGTGAGAGAAATTATCTTTTTAGAGAAGTCTTAGTTAAAACATAACTTGATGATTGTCTCAAGCGATTATGTTTCACAGATAATTAATTTAATTACTGTTGTATGTAGACTTAGGGTATTTCTCAAAAGTGATTTTCCTCAGAGAAATTTTATTAGGAACTTTTAGATTCTTAAGGGTGATTTTCCCCTGAGAATTCTATAGTTTATTCATTTCTAATTATTGATAAGAAACTCAGGAGTGATTGCCTCAGATGAGTTTAGTTTTTGGATTCTATACAAGAAGTGATTGACCTTCTTGCTTTTGACATTTACTTATCCCGAGTTTTCCCCCTTTAATTGTGTTGAAATATTGGTCGATCTCATCGTCGTGTTAATTTAATGTAACGGTTTTTCGCACATGAGTGAAGTCCTCAGTCGCGTTGTTTTATGTATTTTGCTTGTTATGTTGATTTGAATGAATACATTTATTAACTTGATGAACTTTAGTCTCATTTACAAGTCTTTAAGACTTCTGTTCAGGTTTTGGTCAGGTCAAGGTAAAAGTATTGATAGCCGAGTAGGTCAGGTCATTTTATTATTATTTTTATAAGAGGTCATATTTGAGTTTCCTTGCTGATGGGAGATAATCAGCTGGTGGCAGCGCTACTGGGAAAAGGACTTTCCTGCTACAATAATTATAAATTCACATTTAAATACTAGTTCAAGAAAGTAGTGCTATGTTTTAAAAAAGGGACCTAACACTACATGTAGTAATAGGCCCTAATATTATGAAATCTAAATTTTAGAAGTCTTAAAATCATGACTCATCAATAGGGACTACCTCTCTTATTCTAAAAGATGAATTGTTCACTGCAAAACATTAATTGGTTCATACGAGTACCTTAAGCTTCATTACATTCTGTATATTTACAGAATGGAGGCGTACAAGGCGATGTCAATCCCACGCTCTGACAAAAAGACATTTCTCAATTCTAAAAGTTTATAAAAGCTACATTTTTCCCAAAATTAAATGATTTATATAATCTTTTATACATTTAATTCTGTTTTTCATTGCTTAAATAATTCATTTTTTCACTCATGTTTTTAAGATGTGAAAAAAAGAAAACTCTTCACGTATGATTCGAACTCTCTCCATATCGAAGGGTTTGGCACAGGACCGACCGCGTAAACCACTAGTCTACGAAGTATATGTCTGTCAGTGTGATTTGAATGAACAGGTTCGTTTAAGCGTACATTTTTTTTTTTCAGAAAAGTTCAATTTTCATATAGAATGGGTTCAGATTCCATTTTTTGGACAAAAGAAATTTATTTCACACTTACGTTATTATCATTTAAGCGTTAACGAAAATTGGAGACTTGACCCATGCATGTTAGAAATTCATTTTTTATGGTTCTAGTAAAACCCATTTTCCAATAAATATGCTTAACTGTCAACTTAGAAAAAAGATTGTCAAATTATAAATCGTTCAGTAAAATCAAATAATAGAAGATAATAGTTCTGAAGATGACATTACCGACAACATGTTTTTAGAAAAATATAACTTTTTCATGAATTTTGAAAATTGAGAAACATACTGTATTGTCTCAGAGCGGGGAATTGTCCACGCCTTATACGACCTCTTTCTTTTTTTTCATTCTAAAGTAATAATTTTTCAGGAAGTCGTCTAAATAAAAACACCAAATACAACAACCTATTTGTACCATTTTAATAATTAACAAAAAATTTTATTTACAAAAATAGCACCTTTGTTTTGAATGCATATAACATGTATAACAGATGGTATTTACACCGCAAAAACTAGAAAATTGTTGTTTTCACATCTATATATGCACAGAATTTTACGTCAGGTATGTTAGTGCACAAAGTTGAACGAGAGTTTTAAGATATCATGAGTATTCACTAAATCACCAATGTTCAGCAATCAAAAGAGAGTACAGGTTCCCCAGTATTCGTTCAGTTCTTGATACGCGATTTCCAGTAAGGAAGAGTGTAAGATCTGCAAACAAGGAATCAGAATCCAAATCCACTGGGCACGGCAAGGGAGGGAACGTTATACGACGGTGGAAACTGAGGAACACTCGTGGTGTACTGACAGCTGGGTCTGGAGAAGGCCTGATGCTGCTCCGCTTGCTCAGACATCAGGTGAGACAGGATCTTATTTCTCTGTTGAACGTCCATTTGGTCCCAATAACTGTGTGTTGAAGGGATGGGTCCACACGAAACCGGAAACGGAAATTGACAGGGTCTGCGCTGAAACGAGGCTGTGGTTTTCTGATGATCCAAGCTAGGGTTGCCATCCGGATGGATATATGGCATGTAGTGTATGCTGGAAAAAAAGAAAAGAATTAATAACACTTCACTATGTTTGAATAGAACATGTTATCGAGAAAATGTGCTTGGTGTACCTATAACCTCGTTTTGTTTGAAATGTATGTTCTGGATGATTAACTAAAATTGAAATTAAATGGAGTGCTGTCGTATCTTTGATTTATACGGAATCTTAAGGTCAGACAAGACGTTTCTCAAAATCTGTTTTGTATATTTTCGTGATGTATGAAAAATATTCAATTTTTTTAATAACATTCTGATTTTTTTACCACTTTCTACACGTTTTTAATAATCGAAACACTTAAACATTTGAAATTGGAATTTTTAATAACATTCTGATTTTTTTACCACTTTCTACACGTTTTTAATAATCGAAACACTTAAACATTTGAAATTGGAAAATTATTTTTCTTCCCCAAAGGATTATATAAGAAAAACTACCCCTGGTATATTGCAGAAATGCCTGGTAAGATGCCTAATTTTTTTGTGAGTAAACATGTTTAAGTAGCAACACTTCAATGACAAACTCTTAGAAAAATTTATCTATTATTAAGGAACGTCTCGTTTGTCCTTAACCTTTATATACACACTACTTAACTAAAAATCATCAACATCAAGCTAAAATTTTCAGTTTCAATGAGTTCAATTTAATTTTTAAGTATTTTGCATTTTAATATATGAATATTTACACGTACATGTATTCTATAGTATAATTTATGTCTGCTTGCCTAACCACCCACATCAAATAAGAACATAACTCCTCTTTAAAGAATAAAAAAGGGTCATTTATTGAAATATGCAGTAAATGACAGTGGATCAAAAGCACAATATAAAAACATGTACAAAAGTAACTAAACTTATATACATCAACATCAAAAGTTAAGAGACAAAAAAAAAATCAAGTTTGTACCTGAGAGCACAGCAAGTTACATCAAATGACTAGATACAATTATGGCATGATTGACTTATAATATGTAACCAAATGTGTTTTAAGAATGGTGTCAATCTAAAAATAATATTACTTACTTGGAAATCGGTCTGGATGTTGTGTTCTCCGTTACTTCTCGTATCTGGTTTGGCGGCGACAACACGTGTTGTTTTCCATCACCGGGGACCAGCTGACAAGAACTGCGCATGTCTGCGTTGTAAAACTGTTTCCGCATCCAGGCAACATGGGAATCCTTGGATTGCCTCTTGAACTTTGAGCGTCTGTTCTGGAACCAAACCTATAAAAAAAATCATGATTTATTAGCATAAGCATATCGTCCATTTCTGAATCATCTTCTTTATCAATAAGTATTAACTTATTTTGATATTTCTCATTATTAAATTTCCATCATGTTTAACATGACGTTACCATTATACATGTGTAAATATTGCATGTAGTTGAGTGTAACATTGAAAATTTTCACCCCGAGGCGCAGCCGAGGTTGACAATGGTTTTTGAGGGGTGAAAATTTTCGATGTTAAACTCAACTACATTCAATATTCATTATATTATGCTGAATGTTTTATATACAAATGAACAGTGAACTGTGCGCGCATAAATTCTGCGCAGTGGCTATTTTTAATTTTTGGAATATCACCTGTCGTCATGCAATGTTGACTGTTGCTACGCTGGAGGGCGTGGCTTCATTATTCAGCGGTAATAGTGTTTCTAAACAAATGTTTCTCGACCAATCAGATTCAACTAATTTACATGAAAGTATGATTATATTATTTAAGGTATGTAAGTAAATATCTGATAAGAGAATGTCATGCTCAAGTCTTCTGCCGATAGAAAAACCAACAAATAATACATGTTTATCGTTTTCAGATTAATATAACCCTCTTTAAAGATTCATGAATGGTTTAATTTTATCGAAATGTGTCCAACTTTTCACAAATAGTGTTTTGTGTTCCCACTATCACTGACAGAATGTGGTATAATTGTTGCTCCATCTAACAGACGGCGTCGGTCTAGCTGTCTAGCTAGAGGTTTTTCTGTCCGTCTGGTTTACTTTCATTTCCGAACGAAATCTTGTGAAACTTTTGCAATGAAACTGTACACAACAACCCCCAATGGTCTTAAGAAGATCTGTGCTTATTTTGAGATGAAAAAGGTCAAGGTCATAAATTCAATGTTTTGTGACACATTCGTTCCACGCAATACCTCGAAAAGCCTTCGATCTTGTGCAGTTAAATTTTTTACAACTAATTCCTCTGACTTAAGAAAGATGTCGATTTATTTTGAGGTAAAAATGTCAAAGGTCAATGTCGTAAATTTATACATTCTGGCTGTTTGTAAGACTGCCATTTCCGGTCGATTCCTTAAGATGCTTTTGAGTGTTTGGTTTGCAATTAATTTTTTTTCCAGAACTCCCTCTGGCCCCACCCGCCCTCCTTACAGTGTTCGTCCTCGACCCCCATAGGGGTTTCATATTACACAATTATATATATTACATGTGTCAAGAACTTGCTAAATTTACTTTGATTTAGTCCCAATGACCTTGAAGTTTAACCTACATTTAAAACATTTAAACAATCAACACTTTGAATTGGTTATAAGTTTTGAATGAGAAGAAATAGGGCTGTCATATTATATAAGTATAACCTCAATATCTTCTGAAATATACTATGTTTTGACCACATGACCTTGAAGTTTGATCTACTTTTTAAAAATTTTAACTTTAGTCATAATTATCTTCTGAATGAGCAGAGATAGGGCTTCCATATTATACATGTGTATTACATGTGACAAATCCTTTTGAATACACTATAATTTCTGACCTTTTGACCTCGACCTTTAAGTTTGACCTACTTTTCAAAAAGTTTAACCTTGGTTATGATATTTGAATGAAGAGAGATAGGTTTTTCATATTATACCTGTGTATTGCCTGTGACAAGTCCTTTCTAACGACACTATGATATTTGATCTTGTGACCCTGACTCTGACCTTGAAGTTTGACCTACTTTTCAAAAATGTTAATTCCTCCTCATAACTTTTTTTTTAATGAGAAGAGATAGGTCTTTCCAATATATTTGACATGTGCATTTCCTGTGACAATATATTTTCGAGAATGCTATGATTTCTGACCCCTGAACCTTGACCTTCATGACTGAACTAATTTGAAAAAAATCAACTTCGTTAAGAGCTTCTTTATGACAAATTTAACAAAATATCATATAAGAAATTACATTTTACCCCCAAAGACACCGAAAGTGGGGGACAACAATACTTTGAATTTTCTTGTTTAAAATAGAATTTTATATAAGCATAAGTTGGAATTACTCTTGATCATAATTTATAAACTATGTAATCTGCATGTTGTTTTTTTTTTTCAGCAACATCAAAATGTAAAACGAAACCCATTGTATGTTATCATAGAAGTAATTACTAAAGAATCAAAATACGTGTATAAAATTCATGTGTTCTCACATTATTTCACATATTTTAGATTTATTTTCTTTCAAAAAAAAAGCGCCAAAATAACAACTACCGGTATATTGTTATATACCTCTTTTAAGATATTGAAATAAATCAATGTAATTCTTACAGAAACTTTATCTGTAGTGATCTCTAATTTTTCTGCCAAGTCTTCTAAGGTCTCTGTGTCGGGGTATTGGGAAGTACAGAAAGCGCCCTCTAGTAACTCCAACTGAAAAGGAAATCAACAAATTGAATGTTACAAGATATTGCAAGGGAAGATGATATTATTTTTCAAAAATAGTTTTTTTTTGTTTTAGTTAAATAAAGTAATAATTGATGTAAAAATCATTTTCATAATTTTGAATTTTGTAATTTCCTGAAAGTTGATATAATTAAAGTATTTTGACTGAATCCATTTTGTAATTGTGATATGCCTTATGTACATATATTCAATATATTCACGTCAAGTATTTCTTCAGAAATGCAAAACGAATACATGTGTATTTATATATCCAAAAATCAATAAAATATATCTTTTTCTGGCAGTCCAAAACCTACAATATGTAACGGTACCGAGCAGTATCGGCATCCCGTCAGATTTCATATGATATACTTGTCACTAAAAGTAATTACTGGTGACCCTCCCCTGAAACGCTCAACCATGTCACTTAAAAATCCCTAACAAAAATTTACTAGTAGGCCTATATCATAGATTACTTTAGATTACTTTAAGGGACTCCGACCCTCAGCTAGGAAGGACAACTCTTTAATTTATAATTTAAATTAATAAAGTCTTTAAATGAAACTTGAAAATTAAATATTTTCATGCAACAATTTTCATTATATACCTCTCAATGTGCTTCAAGGTTCTTTGCAAAGCTCCATAAATTACTTCTAATTTCATATCATGTTAATAATCGTTGGTATCTAAAAATGCTTTTTCGGGATAAAAATTTCTACTTTTAATACTAGACCTATCTGAGAAGTTCAAAGAACCTTGAAGCACATTGAGAGACAGTGGCGTAGCATCGTTTTTGAAAGTGGGGGGGCCAGGCAGAATTTTTTTTTTTTATTTACCTGAAAAAGTTGACAAGCAAAAAAAAAAAAAAATGAAAAGTTGCCCAAAGTCGAAAATCCTATTTCGTGGGGGGGGGGGGGGGGGGGGGGGGGGGGGGGGGTAGGTAAACTTTTTCTCAGTGTCAACTACTTTTAGTCCCAATTCTTATACTACATATTCGGTACATTTCTAAAGGTGGGGGGGGGGGCGCCAACCAGGCTTTCAATTAACATTTCCTATAGTGTAAGTAAGGTTGGGAAAAAAAGTGGGGGGGCCAGGCCCCCCCTGGCCCCCCCGGATACTACGCCCCTGAGAGACATGTATAATGAAAATTGTTGCATGAAAATATTTAATTTTCAAGCTTCATTTAAGGACTTTTGAATTAAATTATAAATTAAAGAGTTGTCCTTCCTGGCTGAGGGTCGGAGTCCCTTAACTAACTATAGTTAATACTTCGATATACTATCATGAAACTTAATTTAGAATCTTTTAAAGGATTTATAGCCTTAATATTTCTTTAATTACCTATAGGTGTACCTAAAATGTATCTTTAACAAGAGGCCCAGGGGCCACAGCGCTCACCTGAGCACATCGGGCTTGAATTTACCCCCCCCCCCCCTCCAGGCGTTCATCATTTGAACAAACTAGAATCTACACTACCTGAGGATGATTCCATTTATAAATATCACTAATCATAGCTTTGAAGTACTTGAAAAGAAGATTTTAAAAGGCTTCCCTATATATCCCTATGTAAAACTTGGGTCGGCCATTTTGGCCCCACCCTAGCCACGGGGGTCATGATTTGAACAAACTTGAATCTACACTACCTGAGGATGATTCCACATGAGTTTCATCTTTCCTGGCCCAGTGGATCTTCAGAAGGATTTTTAAAAATTTTCCTAATAGATATATTGCTATGTAAAACTTGGGTCGGCCATTTTAGCCCCACCCTTGCCCTGGGGGTCATGATTTGAAAAAACTTGAGTCTACACTACCTGAGGATGATTCCACATGAGTTTCATCTTTCCTGGCCCAGTGGTTCTGGAGAAGAAGATTTTTAAAGATTTTTCCTATATATTCCTATGTAAAATTTGGGTCGGCCATTTTGGCCCCATCCTTGCCCCTGGGGTCATGATTTGAACAAACTTAAATCTACACTACCTGAGGATGCTTTCACATGAGTTTCATCTTTCCTGGCCCAGTGGTTCTGGAGAAGAAGATTTCAAAAGATTTTTCCTATATATTCCTATGTAAAATTTGGGTCGGCCATTTTGGCCCCACCCTTGCCCCGGGGGTCATGATTTGAACAAACTTGAATCTACACTACCTGAGGATGATTCCACATGAGTTTCATCTTTCCTGGCCCAGTGGTTCTGGAGAAGAAGATTTTTAAAGATTTTTCTTATATATTCCTTTGTAAAACTTGGGTCAGCCATTTTGGCCCCACCCTTGCCCCAGTGGTCGAAGAAGATTTTTAAAGATTTTTCCTATATATTCCTATGTAAAACTTAGGTCGGCCATTTTGGCCCCACCCTTGCCCCGGGGGTCATGATTTGAACAAACTTGAATCTACACTACCCGAGGATGCTTCCACATGAGTTTCATCTTTCCTGGCCCATCGGTTTCGGAGAAGAAGATTTTTTAAAAATGCCATTAATTTTTAACAAATTTATGATTATCTCCCCTTGGAAAAGGACGTGGCCCTTCATTTGAACAAATTTGAATCCCCTTCACCCAAGGATACTTTGTGCCAAGTTTGGTTGAAATCGCCCCAGTGGTTCTTGAGAAGAAGATGAAAATGTGAAAAGTTTACGACAACAACGACAACGACGACAACGACAGACGACGGACAAATTTTGATCAGAAAAGCTCACTTGAGCCTTCGGCTCAGGTGAGCTAAAAAATGTAAATGTACAAGATATAAGTCATTTTATGATCTGAAACACAAGTAGGAATTAAAAAAAAATATCCGTCTT